TTTTTTTTTTTTTTTTGAGACAGCCTCTCTCTGTCACCCAGGCTGGAGTGCAATGGCATGATCTCGGCTCACTGCAACCTCTGCCTCCCAGGTTCAAGTGGTTCTCCTGCCTCAGCCTCCTGAGTAGCTGAGATTACAGGCACACAACATCGCACCCAGCTAATTTTTGTATTTTTAGTAGAGACGGGGTTTACCATGTTGGCCAGGATGATCTCAATCTCTTGACCTTGTGATCGGCCCACCTCGGCCTCCCAAAGTGCTGTGACTACAGGCGTGAGCCACCGCACCTGGCCATAAATTTGTTTCCTATTTGTCTCCCCAGATTGATATTTTACCTCCAAGAAGGCAGGGTCTGTATTCTTTGTGTTCATCATTTTATTCCCAGAGTTGAGTGCTGTGTCTGACATGTGACAGATGCTCAGTAAACAGATGTTGAATGAATTTAACACTGTAGAGGCCTAAAGCTGTTACCTGTCACTGGGAATTCTTGGCAGCCTCTCATTTATGCATTGCTCTGCAATCCCCAGCACTTAATTCCTGATCTTCCCACACTATCCTTGGAGGACCACAACCGTCATTATGTTTACATTACAGGAACAAACATAAAGGAGGGGTAAGGGTCTTGCCTGGGAACACCAATAACCAGTAAACTGAAAATATCTGATGCTTCATTCACTGGTTTGACCCACGACCCACTCTAAAAGTGGGGTATTTAGCAGGGATGAGATTGCAAATACCTGATTACAGGAACCCTGGAGGATTCTGGACAGCTCCCTTGGGCCTAGCTTTACCTCTGCTTATTTCTCTGGTGGGGAGGTCTCAGGAATACAGGAAGGGCAGCTGGGGTACTGGGGAGAGGCACTCCTGGGTCTGAGTACTGCTAATTTTATTTGTTTGTTCTGTGGCAAAGTCTCACTCTGTCACCCAGGCTGGAGTGCAGTGGTAGGATCTTGGCTCACTGCAACGTTTACCTCAGCCTCCCGAGTAGCTGGAATTACAGGCATCTGCCACCACATCCAGATAATTTTTGTATTTTTAGTAGAGACAGGGTTTTACCATGTTGCCCAGGCTGGACTTTTACCATGTTGCCCAGGCTTGAACTCCTGGACTCAGGTGATCCACCTGCCTCGGCTTCCCGAAGTGCTGGGATTACAGGCAAGAGCCACGGTGCCCAGCTGGAGTACTGCCAGTTTTACTAAGAAATTGTTTCAATGCTTCAACTGGGATGTTAGGTTGGTGTGTACCCCAAAATCAGTCTTGATCCCTTGATACTTCTATGTTTATGCTGATTATGTCTTTATTTAAAATTTAATATTTTGTTCATCATAGATTCTCTGCATTCATTTTGATTTTTGAAAATATCATATTAATATGTTATTTATCATGATTACTGTTGAGTTAAATTGTGTGCCCCCTCCTCCCACCGAATTCATATGCTGAGGTCCCAATCTCCAGCACCTCAGATTGTGACCTTATTTGGAAATAAGACCATCGCACACATAAGCAGTTACAGTGAGGTGATACGGGAGTGGGGTGGGCCCCTAACCCAATATGACTGGGATCTTTCTAAGAAAGGGAAATTTAGACACAGACACATCTGTGGGGAGAAGGCCATGTGAAGGCTGAAGTGACGCTGCCACGAGCCAAGGAGCATCCAGAAGCTAGGAGAGAACTGGAGCAAATCTGTCCCTCACACCGGCACAGGAGCACGGCCCTGCCAGCCCTATGACCCTGGACCTCTGCCCTCTAAAACTCAGGTGATAAACTTTTGTGGTTAAAGCCACTTAGCTTTGGCACTTGGTTCTAGCAGCCCCAAGACTGCCTTCCCCAACGAAGGCAATCCCTGAGCTTTCAGGCACCCCTGAAGTTTTGGTCTCGCTTGCCCCACTCCAGCCCCAGCCCGGGATCATTCTGTGACCATCCTGTCTCCCATTGACTCATAGCAGCCTTTAGATCTCTGGGGTTGAAGAGGAAAGGAAACCCTTACAAAGAAAATGAAGAGGAGCCTATGAAATTCAATCAGTTGTCAAAAATGTCCTGGAGCCGGGCATGGGTGTCACAGGACAGAGGGGAAGTTGTTTTAAACTTCATGTCCTGAAACAAAAACCTTTAATTTCTGGAGCGCACTTCACAGAACACGGAGATCTCATCTCCAAAGGAGCCTCACATCAGCTGTTTCTCCGAAGACTGCTCCCAGGCTTCGCTTGCGCTTGAACTTTTCAGAAGATCCCCCAGCCACCTGTTACATAACAACACTCCTGTGCGTTGAACGCCTTCTGGCTGATCCGAATCTACCTTGGTGCACTTGAAGACATGTGTTCTGTCCTTAGGCCTCAGCTGCTTTATTTCAACACAGCTATTAAGCCACCTGCACCCTCTCTTGGCAGGCTAATACTTCTTTAGCCTTTCTATGAAACTCTAATCCTTTAATCCGGCCATGAAAATATGAATTGTTCTATGTGCCCAGAGCTTAAAAGAAAATAGTTGGACTTAAATGAAAATACAAACTTAAAAAAATTTTTTTAAAAATTTTTAAATGCAGATTCTGATTTAGAAGCTCTGGAGCGAAGCCCAATTTCTGCATTTATCTTTTCTTTTTTTTTTTTTTTAGACAGAGTATCACTCTGTCACCTAGCCTGGAGTGCTGTGGCAGGATCTCGGCTCACTGCAACCTCCACCTCTTCGGTTCAAGGGATTCTTGTGCCTCAGCCTTAAGTAGCTGGGATTAGAGGTGCGTATCACCGTGCTCGGCTAATTTCTGTATTTTTAGTAGAGATGGGAGTTTCACTGTGTTGGCCAGGCTGGTCTCGAACTCCTTGCCTCATGTGATTCACCCACCTCGGCCTCCCGAATTGCTGGGATTACAGGTGTGAACCACCATGCCCAGCCAGGAATTTTTTTTTTTTTAAGTAGCATATGTGGCCCTCTGTTGCTGTCTGTGTCCCTCTTTGCATCTCTTTCTTTAGTAATCAGCATCCAAGAAAATCTGGGCTGTGCGGGACTCTGCGTACCCCCCGCCTGTGTACCCTAGCAGCATTCTGCTTGCTGCGGTGAAATAACAGACTTGAGGAATAAGCCACTCCTCGTCCCAGACAAAGTGCCTGGGAGTCCTGATACATTTTCTAAAATCACACACGCAATACTGGTAATTTTTATTTCTGATCTTTACATTTTTTTTTTTTTAAAGATGGAGTCTTGTTCTGTCACTAGGCTGGAGTGCAGTGGCACCATCTCAGCTCACTGCAACCTCTGCCTCCCAGGTTCATGCCTCAGCCACCTGAGTAGCTGGGGTTACAGGCATATGCCATCACGCCAGGCTAATTTTTGTTACTTTTGTTACTTTTAGCTGGAGTTTCGCCATGTTGCCCAGCCTGGTCTCAAACTCGTAGCCTCAAGAGATCCACCTGCCTTGGTCTCCCGAAGTGCTGGGATTACAGGCATGAGCCAACACCCCTGGCCTATGGTTGATCTTAAGCCTTCAATTTCAGATGTTCTTTGACATATGATGGGGTTACATCCAAATAAACCCATTGTAAGTTGAAAGTATCATTAGTACAAAATGCATTTACTACCCCGATAAACCCAATGTAAAATCAAAAAATTGCAAATCAAATCATCTTTGGGTGAGGGACCACCTATATGCATATATGATCTAGCTATGGCAAGGTATCCTGAGTTCCTAATGAAGGTTGCCCCATGGTTCTGCCACTGTGAAACCCTCTGTTATACGTGGAAGTAGACGCAAATAAAAAAATTATGAAACACTGGCAAGAAACTCAATTTTTAGTTTCTGTAACTCTTGTAGAGAATGGTTATGTAAAGACGAAAAGTGACACCAATATCAATAGTGGCACACATTTCAAATCCAGATTATAATCATAAATATGAAGACTGTCAGCTTTTACGTTTTATATGAGGCCAAAGTTACCAACCATTCTCAATAAGCCACATTAATACTTTGATTTATTTTTCAGAATCCTTCATAGAAGATAATTTTCAAAGAAAATGAATTATAAAGTGCCATGAAAGGAAGAATTTACAATGAGATCTGGAGAGAGGACTAGCTTCTCTTACTTGGAAAGAAAGGTGGTGGGGGAAACAGAAGGAGTTTGTGCATAGTAGGGGGAGAAAAAGTACGAAGACCAGCTACAGGGCGGAGAACAATCCATGCTTGGAAAAGCTGAATGAGGAGATGTGGAACAACATTCAGGCTGAGGGCTAAACTATGAAGATTTCTTAACCCTCATGCAGGCAAATTTTGAATAAAAAGAAAAACTACACTTACCTAATAGTCTGATTATGGTGGCTTTTCAAATCCTGTCCGATGCTAGTGGTTACTACTATCTATGATGGGAGAAATATAAAGAATCAGTATGCCTCGTCACCCCACATTACCTGTACAGTCCTTGGTATAAATTACTCATCATATGTGCTGGAGAGTCTTTTACCTGATCAGTTTCTGCCAAAATAAAATTAATAATTTACTACCAGTGTGTATATTTAAAGATGTCATAAATTTAACTTCCCTAAATGTGACTTGATGTGGTGAAAAATATCTACAATGCAGTTTCCACCAGTCAGTTTCAGATACTTCCAAACTCCAAGCCAAAGGCTCATTTGATGTTATTTGTCCTTAAAAGCTTGTTGTGTAGAAAGACAGGAAATGGGTATGACACTACAATCTTACTCTGATTCCACGAGAGCCTTAGGGGGAAAACAAGATTGGTGGTGTATGTTCTTCACACACTGCTGTTCCCACCTCCCTTTCCCTAAGCACTGGGAATCATCATTCTCATTTGAACAGGGACACAGTTTTTTGTGATGAATGCTGTTAGCTGTCTCATATGGGCTTTTCTCATGTCTTGGACTCCAACAGAACCCTCTGGACTTAAGGGGCCATTTACATTTGCTAGTGCCACCACTGAGCAAGTGGTAGGGCACGTCTCAAAGATGTGGCTACAACACTTGATCTGTGAAAGATCAGAAACCAACCCAATTCAGCCATACAATATATAGGTTAAAAAAGGAAAATGACTCACATCAGTTGTTTCCCTTAACCACCGATTCAAGTCACTTACCCATTCAGTCAAAGCAGACTATGGTAGTCCCACCACAGAGGTGGATTTTGGGTGGGAAGCCTTATGTGTTGTTTGGGACCTATGTATATTAGATCAGATAGAACAGAAAGAAGAAGGACAAACAGGCTAAACTCTACATACATCCAAAAAAAAAAGTTGTTTTCCCCACTTACCTGGTCTTTCTAATTCTTCTCTCCTGCTTTACTCAACTATGTACCCTGGCACTAAATTCATCTCCTTCATTAAAAGACTACTTTTAATTTTCTCTTCAAAAATCTTCTATGATGCCTTGGAAATGGATGTCTAAATTCCCTAATATCCAAGATTCTCCACTTTCTAGCCCTAAAGACATATTTTTCCCTTCTACTAGTTTTCTGCAGGCTGCAAATTTCTACTCCAGTCAAAAGGTTTGTCCGCTAACCCCCAATAATATGTTGAAATGCCTCCTCCTCCCTTCTCCATCTAAATCTTGCCTAACCAGAGAAGCCTTCTTGTGACACCTTCAAGCATCCCAGCATAAAATGCTGTCTCCCTTCTAGGAACCAATATAAATCATCTGGCAATTAATTATTTTTAATTTATTATCATTATTATTGAGACAGAGTCTTGCTCTGTTGCCCAGGCTGGAGTGCAGCGGTGACATCTCAGCTCACTGCAACTTCCACCTCCCAGGTTTAAACGAGTCTCCTACCTCAGCCTCCCAAGTAGCTGGGATTATAGACACACACACCATGCTCAGCTAATTTTTGTATTTTTACTAGAGATGGGGTTTCACCATATTGGCCAGTCTGGTCTTCTGACCTCAGGTGACCCACCTGCCTTGGCCTCCCAAAGTGCTGGTATCACAGGCGTGAGCCACTGCTACCCAGCTGTCATCTGGCAATTAAGCTTGCCTTTTGACAGCCCTTTACCTGCTTAATGTTACTTCCATAAATAGTCTACAAGCAACTCAAGCATAGTGCCTTGCATACAGCAGGTGCAAAATAAGATCTGTGAATTCGCTCTGATGATTTGATACTTGTCTCAGGGACAATAGCAGTGAGCTGACCTCTGTAGGCGAAAGTAGCAACCAAGCTATTATGGCCATGATAATTCTCACACAGATAGGAAGCTAAAACGTGGACCACTGCTATGTCACCGAACATTTTTCAGTAAACAAATACACATACCAAAAATCCCAGCTAACATTTTACAGACTCTTCTCAGGAAAGCAGCAAGGACTGACCTGATTTCTTTTCTCTTACAGTAAAAGGAAATGTGATCAACTTAAACACCAAGGGAGGACTGCATCATCTCATGCACAAGACAAACAAAACCCTTCTTCCAGTTTTGTTATAGGAAAATCACAGATCAATAAAAAAAGCTGATGAGAAAACAAAGCAACCAGAAAAACGTAGCAAACGGGAACTGTGTATATCAAGAAATAGAACTGTCTCCAATTAGAACAACAGATTTGCCATAATCCATAAAACCCATGTTATGAGAGTTTGAAACAGTTATGTACAATGTTTCATGCTACAAAGTAGATAAAGACCCTCCATCCCACCTGAATTATCACTTATGTTTGTTGGTTATTATGATCTGTTTAGTGCCAAACATAAGCAATTGCTTCATTTGCCAAAAGCAGTCAAACCATTTCTTGGCTGAACTAACCAATCCATTTCCTTTAAAAAAAAAAAAAAAGTTGTAGATCTGATAACACTATATAAACATGGCCAATGCTGTTTTAACATTTATCTCCACAAAGCCTATCTCCCCAGGGGAAAAGGACTGAACTGCTCAGATCGCTGCAGCTACAGAGCTGCCTGCATGCTCTACTCATTTACCCGACAGTCAAAAGCAGTGCTTTAAAAGTTAATTAAATGGGATGGGATTCTTATGATTTAAACTTCCATCTATAAAAGTTTGATTTAGCAAGCGTGTAGTTGTAATGAGTCTATCATTTACCACAAATTTGCTTTTGCAGATTTTGTTGCTCCCTGGCTTTATGGCAATGCTTAACTTTAAGCGAAAATGCTCATATGGCGTGTGATGGTGCGCGCATGCAGATACCTGGCCTCCGTTAAAAGAGATATCCAGTCGAAACCACTCCTTCAAAGGTATGACGAACTTAGTTTTTACAGCAAGGTCTTCTCCTTTGACAAGATGCATCTGAATATGCAAATGGCCTAAAAGGAAAATTCGAGCACATGAAAATGACAAAAAATATCTAAGAGTGAATGAAGCAGCGAGGCCTTTTCAACAATTGTCCTAAGAAGCTACAAGACTCGATAAAAACAAAGCAAAGCCAAAACGCACATTTACAAATACATTTCTTTGTAAATAAGACATTGGATTTAAGCTTCCAGAAACTGGGTTAAATTTGAAGCCCACGTTTGGAGGGCGCTGCCCTTGCTGGGCTGCTACGTTGACAGTCTCTTCCTTATTCTAGGTAGACGTATCTGTCGCTAGGCAGAGCATTAAAAAATCACAAGATCATTTTAAAGGTTCTGTTTTATACTCACCCTCTTCCGTAAGAAATACAGAAGGCGTGCCGTACATCTCATTAGAGTCAACAAAGTACAGAATCCCACAGAGGCTGGCCTTGCAATAATGGAGTAAATAAAGCCACAATGAAACAGTAAACCTATAAGAGTGAGGGGGAAAAAAATTCTGCAGATTGATATCATCCAAGAACAGGTAATTATGGTTAACAATGACCAAGTAAATTGCTTTCTTTCCAATGGAGGGATGAATTTGCCTTCGTGTTCATCATAGGAGATCAGCTTGCAAAGCTTGATTTTTGCAACAAAGGAGGTAGTTATAGTAACTGCAAAAGACAGGAGTTAAGCTTCATTGTACAAAACTAGCAGACTTTCTACCTTGCACCAAAAGCTGTTTTCTGTGCCTCTCTGAGACTCTCACATGCCTGCTATCTGAATTCTCGATTAATGCTTACAAAGTCAGACATAGATTAAAACAATGTGGATTTTAATAAGAGGTGATTTGATAAGAAGCTATTTTAATTTCTATGATTAAAAGACAAAACATAATTAGGGTCTTTTGAGCAATTTTGTTTCTTTCACAGATAAAAGCCATAAGGTAGAAAAATGTAATTATCTACAAATTGTATCCCTACTCTGTGATAATAGGGACACATATATGCTATTTGCATGCTCAGATTAGGTTATTCAGTATCACGATCCTGGCTGACCAATACAGAACAATTAATCTAATTATCCCATTCCTGGACTGGCGCTATTTTAGTCGAAAAAAATATTGTACATCTGTAACTTGTGGAGGGAGGATAAAATAACGGTAGCCAACTTAACTAGGTCACATTTAGCCAAGATACGCAAACCATCAATCATTCAGAAAAGACTCGCTGAACACACCCCTTGATGCCACACATTGTGCTACTGACCAGTAGTTCAACGATGAGGAAGTGGGAACAATTTCATATTGTATGTGAAATATGGATCAAGGTCAAAATGAATGCATTATTTCTTTCCATTTACCCCAGTAACCAATTCACACTTTGGGTTAAAATGGCAGTGGCCACATGTTCTTTGCAGACACATACAAAGAGGTTCTTTCTGGTCTTTATAATCTGGCCTCAAAATCAGTGGTATGATATGCAAACAGATGGTGCCACATAGCTCCCTCGTGACCCACCCAGCTGAGCAAGCTCATGAAGATAAGTTATTACAAGGAAGCTTAGCAAGAACATACGCTCCGTAAAGTGACTCAAGATCTTTCTACAGCCAGTAGCATGGGAAGAATTAAATCACTCTGCTAAATCCATCTGGTCTGAGGTGAACCAGGAACTATTTTCAGCATCTTCAATTCAGCAGAAGGAAAAATAATACGTATATCCGGGTCTTGCTGAAATCAATGGAGGAGATCAGAAGTTGTGAGATTTCAAGCAGCTCATCCAATCTTCCATGACAGAAAGCTAAAGCCAAGGCTGCAATCTGTGTTGGCTCTGGCTGGCTGCACCTGAGACCTTGCAGGGCCTCTGGCTTCAACACCTTGCTGCCTACTTGTGTCATATAAAGAGGCTAAGGCAAACTGAAGATTGTTAAATGCAAGAATAATTCAAGACATTTGAGGTTTTCAGGTCCACCAATTCTGTCTAAGACACAGAGATCTCAACATTTTGGCAAAGCACCTTACCAAGGTGTATCCTCCTAAGGAGTTCTTCCATTAGCCTGCCCTGGTCCTCAAATTAAACAAGCACCGCCCGACCAGCTCCCTTCTGCTACCCATCCTTACACTGGGTAATCCATCCGCTGGCGTCGAGTGGCTTCCAGCTCTCGATTTCGAAACCTCGGGAACTTCTTGACAATGCCCGTGTTTTCTCCACTGGAGGCATAAGGAAAGCCAAGCAGGGCAACCACGTCTGCAAACAGCAAAACAGCTCCCTTTCAATTATATCCAGAAAAGCAATTCTTCCCAAATCACATTCATCCCGAAAGCCTCTGCCGAGCTCCGATCAAACATTTAAGTGAGATGCCCTAAAAATATTAGCAAACATCTGTTGAATATATGCCAAGCACCGTGGTAAGCACTTTACAGAGACCATGTCAATTACTTTTCATAACAACTCTATGAAGTGGATTCTATTCTTAGTTCCATTCTACAGATGAAAAGCCCTAGGCTAAATTCACAAAGTGATAGAGTCACATTTCAGGTTCTGAACTCAGGCTTCTGTGTTCATTATCAGTTCACATACTGCCCTCCAAATGCTAAGAAAAGCATCTGAATTTGTGTCATATCAGTAAGTTAACACTTTTGTAGTTCTCACTATGGTCCAGACATTGCTATAAACATGCTACCCAAATTTGTTCATTTAATTTTCATTATTATCCTCAATCTACAGATGAGAAAACAGAGGGACGATGGCCAAAATAGTAACTAGGCTGTCAGGATGGCCGAGTGGGCTAAGGCGCCAGACTCAAGTTACCGTTTCCCAAAATAGTAACTGACATTTAGTGTACACCCAGCCATATCGTAAGCACAATTCAGGGATAATCTCACTTCATTTCACAACACACTATGAAAATAGGTTCTTTTATTACTCCCATTCAACAGATTAAAAACAGAGCATCAGAGAGAGTTAAATAAGAGGTGGAGCTGGGATTCAAACTCAAGCTCTTTGGTTGCAGAATCCAAACTCTTAAAATTGCAGATTTTTTTCTTCTGTGCAAACTTTCCACAGTAAACTCAACATACTACCCTACATAAAAATTACTAATCATATATCTTAAAATTGAAAAGTCTTCCATTTTATTTCACAAACATGAAAGAATGCTTCTCTGTAGCTCTAAAAATCACAGGGATGTTCATAACAAATCTTAAAGGGAGAACTGAGTTATTTCATCTCTACTTAATAACCACCGCTTTCAACAAGCCTAAGTATGAATTTTTGGTTTTCCATATTCTCCCCCATTAAAGAAAAGATAATCCACTTAACTCAACCTAGGAATAAGAATACCTTTCTTGGCCGGGCACGGAGGCTCACGCCTGTACTCCCAGCACTTTGGGAGGCAGAGGCGGCAGATCACAAGGTCAGGAGTTGGAGACCAGCCTGGCCTTCTCTTTGGTAGAGAAACCCATTCTCTAACAAAAATACAAAACAAATTAGCCTGGCATGGTGGTGCGCGCCCGTAATCCCAGCTACTCCGGAGGCTGAAGCAGGAGAACTGCTTGAACCCAAGAGGCGAAGGTTGCAGTGAGCCGAGATTGCACCACTGCACTTCAGCCTGGGTGACAGAGCAAGACTCCATCCCAAAGACAAACAGACAAACAAACTTTTCTTCTGCTTAAAATGCTCCTTGGATTAAATGGTGGAAACAGTCTATTTTCCTGGGCTTCTTGGAGACAGAAGAGTTGATTTATGTGCAATTCACCAAATATCAATATTGGCACAAATTATGGGGGCTTCAGCCTATGACGCTGGACATCTCAGCTCTCACTTCCCAAAGGAAATAAGAAGTTTTATTATATAGAGAGGTACCTTTGGTTTACCACAATCTGGAAATCATAAGAGCAGTTTTTAGAATCTCAGGCCCTTATGGATATATTTAATAGAATTAAATAAGCTAATATCTCTCCAATATCCACAAATCTATGTGCTTTTTTACAGGTAGAGATGCATTTGGAAATCCAAAAGAGTGGAGTGATCAATTTCAGTTGAAGCATTTAAAACCTTTTTTTTTTTTCCATTTGAGTTCAATTTGGGCCCACTGGGCTTGCTGGTCTGTTATGGGGGTGGTGAAAGGGGTGAGAAACGGAAGTACTGCAAAGGTACCAAAATTCACCAAGAGGGCTGACATCAGCTCAACTTCGGTTTGGCTTCCACTAGGTTGAGTGGAACAGAAGAGACCAGATGGCCACGTTAGACCCCTAGGAAGCCTTCTGCTGGTGATGGCTGTTGAGTGATCTAGTGTGCAGTGGAAACATTTGTCAAAACAAATGGGATTCAGTTCTGCCCAACCTGACTCCAATAAAAAGAAGCTTCATAAAGGAGGTTTCTAAAGTGGGAAGAGTTAAAAGTGAATGACAATGAGCTCTCCTCTATCCAAAGACCAGAATAAAGGCGATAACATGGGAGAACGGTCCGCAAAAGATTATGAAGGAAAAGGCTCAGTCCCAGAGATTTAAAAAAATTTTACAAAAGCGCATACTGTTTATACCCAACAAAACCAAAGTAATGGTAGTTTTTGTTTTTGTTTGTTTGTTTGTTTTGAGACAGAGTTTCCCTCTTCCTTCTTAGGCTGGAGTGCAATTGTGCAATCTTGGCTCACTGCAACTCCACCTCCTGGGTTCATGCAATTATCCTGCTTGAGTCTCCCAAGTAGCTGGGATTACAGGCATATTCTACCACATCTGGCTTTTTTTTTTTTTTTGTATTTTTAGTAGAGATGGAGTTTCTTCATGTTGGTCAAGCTGGTCTTGAACTCCCGACTTTGGGTGATCCGTCCGCCTCGGCTTCCCAAATTGCTGGGATTACAGGCATGAGCCACCATACGGCCCAGTAATGGTAGTTTTCTTGTAAATCTGTAGTTTCACTATTTGTATAATTTGCAGTCGTAGTGCAGTTTTCCCTCAGTATAATACTGCCTTTCCATTATAATTAGAAGTAATGAAAAAAATGAATTTTGGAGCAGAAGACTTTAAAATCCATCTGAATAACATATAGGATATGTTATGTATCCCAGGATAACGTATAGGTCTATTGTCTAACAACTGATTACAGCTGCGTGCATTGCTGTAATTGACCAGTGACGTCCTGTCGTGGGCGGTGGAGTGGGGAGTGACAGTATCAGTGCCATCCACCATTAAATAATTTACAGGTAGAAACTTAGGTCCAGAGAGGTTTACTGCTTGCTTCTAGAATGTACTCATGAAAGCAGGGGCCTTACTTATTCACTACTCCGTCCCCAGAGCCTAGAACAGTGCCCAGTACTTGATACAAGACTCCATAAATATTTGATGAATGAATGAATGAATATAGGTGTGGCCGAGTCAGGATTTGAACCTGTCTCCCTTCCTCCTAAGACTTTCCACAATTCTACAATGTGCACCACACTGCAGAAGCCAAATAATGACTTTGTTCTTTCAAATCCTTTCCTCAAATTCATTTCTTTAGTTTATCTTGCATAAAGAGCTTAGGTTAAAAAAAAAAAAAAAAAGACATTATTAAGACATAAACATAGAATGCTGGGAAAACAGTTGATGTTAGGAACCCCTTGCTGTTTTGCTTGTAGTATTTCCTCAAATTTTAGAGCAAGAAGAGGCAACGGATATTACATGGTGCAAACTCCTTCATTTGGAGGTGAGAAAAGTGTGAGTGTCTTATTGAAGATTTCATAGCTAATAAGAAGCCCCACGGCCAGGTGTGGTAGCTCATGCCTGTAATCCCAGCACTTTGGGAGGCAGAGGTGGGCGGATCACGAGGTCAAGATATTGAGACCATCCTGGCAAACATGGTGAAACCCTATCTCTACTAAAAATAGAAAAGTTAGCTGGGCATGGTGGCACACGCCTGTAACAGTCCCTGCTACTCTGGAGGCTAAGGCAGGAGAATTGCTTGAACCCAGGAGGCAGAAGTTGCAGTGAGCAGAGAGGGCACCACCGCACTTCGGCCTGATGACAGATTAGGACTCCAACTCAAAAACAGAAAAGCCCCCCATTGCAAACCTGGCCTCCCCATTGCAAACCTGGCCTCCCCCTTGCAAACCTGGCCTCCCCCTTGCAAAGCACTGGGCTTTTCTTCTCAGTCCTCCCAGAGAGAACCTTGGCTGATATTCAGCAGGCCTGCTGCCCCTGTGCAGATATACTGGTTGCTAAAACACTGAAATGTTTCTTTTTTTGGTTTGATAGTTCATGCTACTTCAAACTTCCAAGGCCGCACCACCCACCCCGGCCCCTCTTTCAGGTTAGAGCCTGGCCCAGCAGTGGCTTCCAGAGCCGGCTTCAGCACTGAGGCTGAGGTTCACTGCGGCCCCCACCTCTCCTGGGTTGTTAAATATTTCAAATCTCATCCTGGGTTGGGTGGGGTTAGAGAAGATTATGTAGCCCATGCCTCTGTTTCAGCTGAGTGATCAGAACCCGGATATGGATGCCTTGTTCTGGAGAAGGTAACGCTTCCACATAACAAAACCCCACTCCGGATGTGCTTCAAACACACAGCAATGAAGCCACTGAGATCCTCAGCCCACCCTCGGAGAAGCTGAAGATGGTCTTGATGCAAGGAATCACAATGACTACAAGTCTATAAGCAGAATCGGTGGGGAAGGAAGCAAAGATTTCTCAACCTGGAGAAATACAGCCAGAACGCAGGCAGCTCAATAATGCTTTCCAAACACAGGACATTAAAAAGCCAGTGACCAATCAGGTGTTTAATTTTCTTTAAAGCCAAAGCCTGAGAATAAAAACTCGATTTTCTAGCAGATATGATTTAGGTCAGAACTTCCTCCAGAAAGGATACGAGGCAGTGAAGCAGGTTACTAAGGAAGTCTGTGGAACATTCAATGACAGGAGTCTTAAGAATAAGACCAGTTCTACCCCTAGTAACTGATCCTTCAAACATGCTTATGAGTGTGCACAAAGATACATGTACAAGGATGTTCAGGGAAGCCTTGAGGTTAAAAGCAACAGCATGATCATCAACAAAGATAGGTTAAATAAATTATGGTCTGTCAGGCAACGCAACGCTAAGGAGCTGAAGAACTAGGTTGGCGGCATGTCCCGGTACAGAAAAATCTACTGTATCGTTAATGAGTGCAGGGCCGTTTCTAGAATCCTCTCATTTGTTCAGGAAGAGAACGGGATACAACTTAACGCTTACATGTGCAGAGAACATTTCTAGAAGGAGACACAAGAAACTGTTGCTAA